TTAGCATGGTTGGCTACGTACGGTGCAAAAGAAGTTCAACATACATAAAGAGTTGGTTGAGTGGTAGGGGTCGCGTGGTAGTGATAGGGGTAGAGCACCCGCGATTAGCATGGTTGGCTACGTACGGTGCGAAAGAAGTTCAACATACATACAAGATAAATGTATTTCTGAACTTGGCATTGTGGGTAATTGGATATTTGGAATAAAAAAAAACATTAAACGATGGCACAGAAACCATAAGGTTCTATTCCTTTTTTGTATTTACATTAGAAAACATTTTTAAAATAAAATAACCCAGAATACGGTGGGAATTTCAACAGCAGGGAGAAAAGTACAGATAACGTATAACAGACTAAACATTAGGCACCCTCAAAATTATGAACGAACGATCGGGAACAGTGTATTTAAGGGGGGGGGCGTGGGGGGAGAGGAAGAAAATGGGAGAAGGGGGGGCTGATAATGTAACCAAACAGAACCCAAAAATAAAATAACATAAACGCGATGTCCAAGTTTCTCGTTCTTGTTATCTCCCAGGAGCTACGGCCCAGGAGGATGGTGTAATATCCAATCAGTAATGTCCTGTTCTTAAAAAATAATGTCACATTTTCATGGTGGCCCAAAAGAGTCAGGACACATAGGGTTATTTAATTTATTTTTACCAAACGTTCAAACTGACTGACATTAACATTAATGCAGGCATTAATTTTCTTCCGAAATTAATTTGAGACATTTTACTTTGGATTCCAGCTGTAATCTTTTAACAATCATCAATTGTGTTTTGTTGTCTCAATTCAGTCAGGGTTCTTTGTCGAGCTTTGTAAACCACTGATTTGAGGTGACCACCACAGGAAGAAGAAGAAGAAAACAAATGATCATAGATAAAATATTGACTTAAAGAATACACAATATAACATGTTTAAATTGCCAGTGTTAAATAAAACAACTTTATGTCCTGACTTTTGGGCCACCATGCATACAGCAAATGGACTTCTTGATTAAGGCCCATGGATTTTAATGTCCTCTTTATATTATATTGTGCTATGTACTTGCACTTCATATGCCACAACACATAGCCCGGTGTCAATAGAAAGTAAATCATTGGCTTTATGTGAACAGGATTATCGGTGAGCATGATCAATGACCGCTGAGCTATTATTTAGCTGACCAAGTTATTCCCGTCTCTCTTTCAGAACTGAACATTCATTTAAAGCAGGACCTCTATCCCCGAGGTTTCAAGAAAAAAAAGCACATCTACACTTACATGGCTTCTACTTTGATGGAATTGATGGAAAACTACCACACTGAACCCAGGAGCACACTGTCACATTTATTATTTGGGCCTAGGGGGGGGCGGGGGGCATGACAAGGGGTCAGTGAGCACCTTGGGGATGTTTGCAGCATAAATACATTGAGAAGAACTCCACGGGAATTTATATTCTCAGAGAGAGAGAAACTGCTTCATATTTTGTTCAGAATGTATTTCACGATTTGTTTTATCTTGGGTATTCATAATATCCTTCAGGATTTATGGTAACGCATGAACTCAAAGCAGACGAAACCTCGGGGTTTCTTTGTCACCAAGGAGAATCAGACACGTGCGGGAACTCTCACTCGTGTTGTAGCGCTGCGATGTCAACGCGGGTCACGCCGCGTTTCATTCGGCACGGTGTCCGACGTTGGGGGAGCTACTTGGGGAACTTAATTGAGTGGCTACACAATAAACGCGTGCAGCTGTGCTGCATGACGAACCGAGCAACCCGAGTTAAATTCACTTTCACCGCCAACATCAAGTGGCGAAAAACTGAACCGTCCGTGAGCTCTCCCCAATGTCGACCTAACCTTGAACGAATGTCTGGTGCAGTGTGTGTACACATCAGCACTGGGGAGACAAAGGCGGCCGAGGGTGGTGCGGGCCACGCCACTCCCTCGTGCGCCATGCCGGTCTTCATAGGTGCCGCTCGCTAACGGCAATTGCCCCGACTGCCTGCGTGGGCTACACAGGGGACCTTTGTCTGTTTTCGATTCCCATCAGAAAATCATCAATGTGTAGCTTATTTACCATGTCTGCCTGTTTAGCGCAGTCGCTCAGCTCTCTGTATACTGATGTCATAAAAGTTAGTGCGAGAAACAATATTGGCCTCAACCGCAGCCATGCTTGAAAAACCCCTCCCCAACATAAGCTTTAGTATATATGGTTCTTAATCACATTGAATATGGAGCACCTCAAGGGACAAACTTTGTCTTATACACATTTTGTAAAGCTACGCTTAACCCATGGCTACGTGTGAGGTTTCTGTATGTGAAAGCAGCGGCGATATCGATATAAACCTTCGTCATGAATTTGGTCCCTGGAAAAAAACACAAAACATGGGGCAGTTTAAGCAGTTTAGGCTTTTCCAGGGGAATTTTTCTTTATTAAATTCGAAATGTCAATAAAATGGACTGGCTGGCCTTGGCTGCCACCTGGTTAAATGGAGGACATTGATTGTTCGTCGTGCTTGCCAATTGAACACAGATTCAGTGGTCTGTGCAAGTGGCCTGCAATTGTGAAAAAAGAGAGTACTAATGTGAACTAGTGTGAGCTCAGATTGCAAATTAGGAATTTACTTTTTGTCGGAAAAATACTTTTTTTTTACTTTCAAATACCATGAAAAATGGGATGCTGTCATGGTTTAATGAATGGTTAGCATGATGATGGATGCTTGTGTTGCGCCCGAAACGTCGTGATTTATTTTATTTTATACCTACGTGACTTTACTCGAACGAGAAAGGAGTTCCAGCGTTTAGGTGCCGCAATTGCAAAGGCACTGTCACCCCAAGAGTGTAGCCTTGTTAAGAGGGAGATATACGTGGACTCAAAAATAGCGCGATTTTTTTTGTTTTCGAGCCATCGGTAAACAAATGGAGATGTCCGGATACCACGAGACACACACAGGAGCTCACACCCCTGGTCGAGAGAGAGGAAAGTGCAGGCGAGGCCTAAAGTCCATAATAGAGGTTTTTGGGTTAGATCGCGTAAATATAAATGGGTCGTTAAACCCGCCACCACCACCCGACACAGCCAATTAGTGAGGTTTGTCACGTTAACAAAACGTGCTAATTCATTACCAGTACAGCACACCGGAGTGTTGGAGAGTAAACCCACAATTGTAAATGTTGTAACCCATAATTGTAACAAATTGGCATGCTTTGTTTAGGTGACAAACCTCACTAATTGGCTGTGTCGGGTGGTGGTGGCGGGTTTAACGATATATTTATAGTTTACGTGATCTGAACACAAAAACCTTTATTATGGATAACATTGATCACGAAAGCCGACGTGTTAAACTGAGGCCTAAGGCGCTGCCTTTGCATCGACATCTGACCCGGCACCTTATTGCACCTTCACTCGTCTGTGACAGGGGACTGTTAGCTGGAGCGTCAGGCTCTTTCGGGATTCACGACACAAGCAAATGGACACACACATCAGTCGCTGAAACACATTCCTGCGGAGGGAGCTGGTAGGAACGTTTGGTTGCTCGGTCAATGGCCAGGGTCAACGGCGGCGTGGTGTATTCCGCAAATATGCCCGACTGTGAGGGTGGGCACAAGCCGGCGTGAGTAGGTTAAACGTTGAGTTTTATAAGGGCACCACGGGGTGACCAGCCCCCCCACCCAGCCCCACCCCTCCTACCCCCCACCCAGCCCCTCCCCACCCTCCCCACCCAGCCCCTCCATACCCTCCCCTCCCCACCCAGCCCCACCCTCCCCACCCAGCCCCTCCCCACCCTCCCCACCCAGCCCCTCCCCACCCTCCCCACCCAGCCCCTCCCTCCTCACCCAGCCCCTCCCTGCACGACGGCGCTTACCCCATCGCTATTTGAGATGCCAACGGACATCTCAGTCAGGCCGATTAAAATGATTCCAAGTGATGACTGGTCTCCCTTCCCGATTCTGCCCTCAGTATTTTGCCGTATTATTTTCTCTTCTCTCACTATTTTGTACGACTTCTTAATGTTTTTTTTATGTTGGCCTACTTTTTAAATCCTCCTGCTCCACATTTCACATTCTGCTTTCTCCTAGATTTAAATCTCCACATCTCAAAAACGCGCATACCGTCGTCATGCTCAAATCTTTATTTGAACACGCACTAATAGCGTCCTTAAATTCTTGCTCAACATTTGTTTTCACTTAAACCTATTTTCTTTGCTATATTTTAGGCCTTTTTTTTCATTTTTGTATAAATATATAAATACCCACTTTGCAAGAGCAGACCTTAGAGTACGGCTATGGACTGTGGAACTTAAAGGAATGGCAATGTACAGTGGCGCCAACGGAAATGGCCGCGTTGAGCTCTTGTGAGTTACCGATTCTAAACTAAAACTAAACTTTTTTACTTTACCAGGTAAGGCCCACTGAGCTCCTATATCGCTGTTTTTCAGAAGTGACCTGCTCATCACAAATGATAGCTCAACAAAGTGGCTTATCACGTGGAAGTTTATACCAGCCAAATACTCTTAAATGCATGTCGATTCTAAATGTGGAGGGAAAAACCAGAGGACCCGGAGAAAAATCCACGCGACCACGGGGAGAACATTCATCACGCGTAGTCAGTGAAGGACCGTTGTGTCAAACGTGTGACCTCTTGTGACAGCATTTGCCTAAACTGCTCTTGCTGCCGTACACCTGCGTCTCGAGTGATTTGTTTGATCGACGGAACACGTGGCGGGGGGGGGGAAGTCGACACCGTTCCTTTGAGGGTCACAATCCACTTCGAATGCCAACCACCAACTGAAGTGAGTGCAATTTACGGGGAGAACATGCAGTCGCCACATACACAGCAGGCATCAGGGGGTCGCGATCGAACCCACGACCACCTGCTGCATACCAGGCGAGGTGGTTAACATCTCACGCGTCTTCAGTCTTGCCGGTCGATGACAGCCGCCACGCGTGACCCCCAAACTGATCCGATGTCGCCCCCCCCCCCACCCCTCGGTGCCGGTGCGGTGCCCTGCGTGCAGGAGGCCTCAGCAGCTTCCGTCAGCAGCACGAGAGCCTGTGCGCCAGCTTCCTGCAGCCTGTGGACGGTTCCGGCGGCGGAGCAGCGGGGCCCCCGCTGCCCCCGCTGCCCTCCACCCCGGACATCGAGAATGCGGACATCTCCCCCATCCTGCCCTTCCTCTTCCTTGGCAACGAGCAGGTGAATTTTGATTTTGGAAAAAGTGGCACATCGGTGCAGCCCGCTTGCGATTTCTCCCCGCTCGTGCCGCTGATGTTGCGGGTGGGGCGAGGTGCCTCTGCCGATAAAGGGAGCTGCACAGGCCGTTTGGCCTACCACTGGGCATCTGTGAGAAAGAGCTTCATGGCTCATCGGATTCCTCCAGTGTAAATGTTCTGATTCTGGTACTCTTCCACGCTGCCCAGATGTCTTGGAATAGGTAAGCGTAACCAGGCTGTTATCATAATATTTTACACGTACAGCATAAGGTTATTGGGATTATCCTCGTTGAACCTGAGAGGCAATGTCTCTAGAATTGAGAATGTAAATGTGGCAGCTGGATTGAGAAATCCGTGGACAATGTCGTCGTAGAAGGTAAATCTCCGGCTCACGCGACCGCTGCCAGAAGGTGCCACAACTGGAGGGAGCTCCAGAGAGCCTCCCTCTCTCTCAAGGCGATTTGACCTCTTCTTCAATGCTGCCCATACATCGTCGAAGAGGCGGGAAGTGTACCTGACCGCTACCCCCGCTGAAATCCACTCACCGATCCACTCGCCGTGATGCGCCCATTTGCTCCGCCGGGTGAAGCGACGCGAAAGAGGGGCGGGATTTGAGAATCTTGCCAATTGTTTCGACTGTCGCGCCGGGAGATCAAATTAAATTCCAGCGTGCAAGCCATAACTTGGACGTCTGTGAAAAAAGGAGATTCGGATTCCGCCAGTCTTCAGTAAAGATTATGATACCACAACAGGATCCCTATTTCTGGTAAATACATCAAATGTAAATGACCTCGATATATTCGGGAATATCGATCTCGTTTGCAATGTGCTCGTCAGTTGCAATCGGCTGAGAGAAGTCACTCTTCATCTTTTTTTAAGAGGGAAAAATTCGTGCAAATTTCCGCAGCCGAATCTCGCGCATGCGTGCGGCTGCTTCACGTGCCTGGATATAAATCAGGACGGTGATCTCGAGACACTCACTGCTGACTGAAAAAATACCACACACAGGTCCTGGCAGTCATAATACTGCGCTTGCGACAGATCGAATGTTTGTTTAACCAGAGCCATAAAAAAAAACGCCGGATTGTCTGCTTACTGCATTGTTATATGTCCATCCATCTGTTAACAATACTTTGCCTACGTATAGATATATCTAAATATCCATCTGTATGTAAGTGTATGTAAGCGTATGTGTGGGGAGCGGTAGTGTGGTGGTTAGCGTGCTGCACTTCGAACCCGGCGAACCGAGTTTGATTCCAGCTCACGGCCAACACCAGTGACGAATATCTTAACCAGTCCCGGGCCTCCCCTAGGTCGACTCAACCTCAAATGAGCACCTGGTGTGGTGTGTAAACATCACCACTGGGGAGACAAAGGCGACCGTGCGTGATGTCGGCCACCCACCACCTCGTGTGCCGTGGCAATCTTCATAGGTGCTCGCAAACAGCGCTTACCCCAACAGTCTGTTAAAGGCCATACGGGGGATGTTTGTCTTTCTAGGCGTATGCCCCAGTGTAAAATGTCTTCTGAATTGGTATACTCTCTTGATTTAAATATTTAAAATGCACGCATTGCAGTTTACTTTACCTTATACATGAAGTGCGTAGTTCAGTTCGATTTTACATTAATTGTGCACTTGTTTGCAACTCGGTCTTTAGTACGGCCATACAAACCTTTCCTTGTGCCGAGAATTCATCCCAAAATGTCACGGCGTCTTCAGCTGCTTAAAGGCACCCGATAAAATACCGCAACCAAACTTTCATTCGCAGACTTCTCTGCCTGCCGTTCCCCGTGCACTGCGAAGGGGGTGGGGGGGCCTTTTATGTGGTCCACATTTACGCGCGTGCCCTTTCAGTGAACCGCGGTTAAGGCCAATGCCATTACAAGGATTATGGTGTTCAACAATATAAAAACACATTCGAGGAAATGTATCAGATGAGCGACCGATGTGACCCTTTGCCGGCGAACGTGGAGACGCATCCCCCATTTCCTCTCCGGTGCAGCGGGGGATCACTCTTGTTTTCGCAATGAGTCGCGCCAGATGTGGTCGAAAGATTCACATCCACAAAACGATGTACGTCGTGCATCGAGCTCTTTCCACTGCCATGCATTTCCACTCGCGGATGTTGCTCTGTTACTCAATGGGAATAATACTGGTAGGAACCACCTGGTTCCACCAGCCCACAGGGGATTATTGTGTCCGTCCGTCCGTCGTGCATCCAAAAATGGGAAGGGTCGGGCTGGGTGGAGAGGAGAGGGTGGGGAGGGGCTGGGTGGGGAGGAGAGGGTGGGGAAGGGGCTGGGTGGGGAGGGTGGGGCTGGGTGGTGGGTGGGGTGGTGCTGGGTGGGGAGGGGCTGGTCACCCCGTGGTGCCCTTATAAAACTCAACATTTAACCTGCTCACGCCGGCTTGTGCCCGCCCTCACAGTCGGCCATATTTACGGAATACACCACGCCGTCGTTGACCCTGGCCATTGACCGAGCAACCCAACGCTCCTACCAGCTCCCTTCGCAGGAATGTGTTAGGTAGCAATTTGCTTGCACCTTCTGGCAGACTAATGTCCGTTTTGCAGGCCGGGTGCTGAGTCACCTTTTGCCTGCAGGGAGATGAGCTGTGATGATGTAAAGTGCCCTGAGACGCCCTGGCATATACGGGGGGTGCTAATCATTGTCATTCAACAAATTATTATGTTGTGAACCTAGCATAGAATCTTTCAGTGTTATCAACATTTTACATAATTAGACCGTGCCCACCACGCATATATATAAGGCGTCGTGGTGGCGTGATGTTAACTACCTCACTTAGTATGAAGGAGGTCGTGGGTTCCATCCCCATTCCGACCCTGACGTCTGTATCTTTGGAGTTTGCACGTTCTCTCTCCCCCAGTGGTCACGTGGAATTTTCTCAGGGTTCCTCCCGGTTTTTCCCTCCACATTTACATTCAACGTGCATTTCGATTATTTGGCTGCTATACATTTCCACGTGATGAGCCACTTCGTTGAGCTATCGCTTGGGGCGAGGTCGCTTCTGAAAAAGAGTGGGCCTCATCTGGTAAATTAAAAAAAGAGTTAAGTTGTTTCGTTTATATAGCAGTACACACGACTGGGAGCAACACTCTGCAGATATTCTTCGGTCCCCTGCTCTGAGCGCATTCCGTTGCTCTCATTGAGAGAGAGAGGATGCTGTCCATGGTGCAATGCTCAGCACACTGCGGTTTGTAACGCAGAGAGCGCCAGTCCGACCTTCCGGCACGGCAGTTGAAACAACCGTGCATGAAGTTTCTTGCATCTCAACCCCCGCCTCTGTCCACCCAGCAATATAAATAGGTACACCACAGTTAATCAGCAGGTCCGCGTGTGGTGGGGGTAAAGAGTCTGTACTCCTACTTCTTCCTCGATGTCTGCTCAGTGAGCAAGGGTGGAGCAAACACGTCTGGAGGGGCTCTGCAGAGCTCCCTCTCGTGGAGGCCCTTCTGCCAGAAGTGGCACGAGGAAGACATTGCAGGGCTGTATTGGATTCAATCCGGGGTACACACAAAGACAAAAACCCCCATATAGCCTGCACAGATTTTTTGGGCAAGTGCAGTTAGCGAGCACCTATGAAGGCCGGCATGGCGGACGAGCGGGCGGGTGGCCAGCACCACGTCCGGCAGCCTTCATCTTTACCATGGTGATGACGAGTACACACCGCACCAGGTACTCATTTGAGGCTGAGTCGACCTCGGGGAGGCCCAGGACCAGTTCAGATAATCTTCACTGGTGGTGGTGGCCGTGAGCGGGAATTGAACTCCGGTCGCCGGGTTCCAAGTGCCGTGCACGAAACTACTCCCTACACACACAACGACTAAGACCCCCCGTGTAGCCTTAACAGACTGTTGGGACAAGTGCTGTTATCGAGCACCTATGAAGGCCGGCAATGTGGCACATGAGGGGGTGGGTGGCCAGCATCACCACACCAGGTACTCATTTGAGGCTGAGTCGACCTAGAGGAGGCCCAGGACCCCAACAGATTCTGCAAGCGGAAGACATACTGCTGTGATTTTATTCTCAACGGAAATTAAGGGAATTAATATTTCTTCTGGAAATTAACTAAATTAGAAATAGCTAAGCTTCATAATTTTCAACACAGCATAATTTACACAATTATATTATTGGGTCAGGCACTCAAATGTGAGCCAATTGGCATTGCCAGTAAATAATTAAGACGAGATGACGTGAATTATTAATGAACAGGCACTTTCCATTCATGGCAGTGTTAACGCAGCTGCTAATTCCCATTTAAGACTCTACCCATCAAGCTTATTAAAATTCATCACACCGTGCGTGGCAGACGTAGTAAGGATAAATAATGCAACCCATTAATATCTACGCTAATAGCACGATACAATTATTTTTTTATTTATATAGCATCTCAAGATGCTGTATCGAAGATGAGACATTTCTTTAATGCGGAGAAGGAGAATCAGTCAGACATAAGTAGTAGAGAAAAAAGTTAAATAGCTCCAGACAGTGGGGCCAGCAGAGGAGAATGAGCAACCTCCCACTAAGTCAAGATTGACTGAGGACGTTGACAAAAAGCCGTGGGTGTTGGAGTGGAGAGTGCGTGGAGGGGAGTAGAGTGAGATGAGAGGGGAGAGGTAGGAGAGTGCGTGGCGGGGAGTGGATTGAGATGAGAGGGGAGAGGTAGGAGAGTGCGTGGAGGGGAGTAGAGTGAGATGAGAGGGGAGAGGTAGGAGAGTGCGTGGAGGGGAGTAGAGTGAGATGAGAGGTAGGAGAGTGATTGGAGGGGAGTAGAGTGAGATGAGAGGGGAGAGGTAGGAGAGTGCGTGGAGGGGAGTAGAGTGAGATGAGAGGGGAGAGGTAGGAGAGTGCGTGGAGGGGAGTAGAGTGAGATGAGAGAGGTAGGAGACTGCGTGGAGGGGAGTAGAGTGAGATGAGAGGGGAGAGGTAGGAGAGTGCGTGGAGGGGAGTAGAGTGAGATGA